AATGCATGGACCGACCGATGTCTTTCCACAAAATGAAGGCCTTAATCAGGTGAGAATTCCATACCTCCAGGTGCAAGGAAATTAAAGCTCGAACAAAGGAGAAACAGTGGACAGTGGAGACCTCAAGGTTCAACGAACTCAAGAACAAAGGGGAAACAGTGGACAGTGGCACTCTCCCGATCAGAAGAGAATTCAAGATCTCAAGGTGCAACGAACTTAAACAACAAAAGAGAAACAGTGGACAGTGGCACTCTCCGACATAGCCGACTAGCCAAGAATCAGAAACAGTGGACAGTGGCACTCTTCGATATAGCAAAGGAGAAACAGTGGACAGTGGCACTCTCCGATATAGCCCCAAGGAGAAACAGTGGACAGTGGCACTCTCCGACACAGGAGAAATAGTGGACAGTGGCACTCTCCGACATACCCGGCTTTCCAGACCTCAAGGTTCAACGAACTCAAAGCTCGAACAACAGAGAAACAGTGGACAGTGGCACTCTCCGACATAGCCGACTACGAGAATCGAAGCCGTTGCTGAGTTTAGACTACGTATCGGACAGAGCCGTTTAGACTACGTACCGGACACGATTGCTTGGCAAAAAACCCTCACAACTACGTACCGGACACGATTGCTTGGCAAAATACCTTCACATATTGGGAGTATACACTCAACCCACATGGAGAAGACCCACCTGATTCGGTGTTCAGCCTTAAAGACAACGACGGAAACCCAGAGATACTGTGAAGCAAGAAGACAGCAAATGAACTGCTATTAATTAACTGCTATAAATGTACCCCCCTTCATGAACGTAATTAACTGCTATAAATGTATCCCCCCCCCCTCTTGGGGTAGGAATTAACTGCTATAAATGTCCCCCCCCCCTACCCTTGGGGGAAGCTAACTGCTATAAATGTACCCCCCCCACCTCTTGGGGGAAGCTGAAGTCAAAGATTAAGGGCTAATGATAAATATCATAAAGCCTGCCATTTGAAATAATAATAATAAGGACATC